CCTCACTAATGCTATGTTCCTTCTCCAATACTCCCACTATCCTATCGTTCAGCAGCTTACAGAACACTTTTCCTACTGTGTTCAACAGTGTGATCCCCCTGTAGTTTCCTGGGTCAGTCTTGTCTCCTTTCTTGAACAAGTTCACAACCACTCCTTCCCTCCATCTACTTGGCGTATACTCGTTTTTCCACACCCAATTGTATAGCAGTACCATCAGCTGGATCATCCCCTTCCCCCCAAACTTCATGAACTCGTTGACTATCCCATCCGCTCCTGCTGCTTTGTGCACTTCAGCTTGTTCACCCAAGCCTCAACCTCGTCCTCAGTGAACTCCTTTTCTAGTTCTACGTTCCCAACGTCTGCCTTCGATGTCTCTTCTTCTTTTTGGGCAAATGCGTCCACCTCCTTCTTAAACACTTGGTCAAAAGCTTCATTCTCCGAGGGCACTCCAAGTATCTTGTAGTGTCCTGCTAGAACTTCCCTTTTTCCCTTCCCACTGCTCCCTTATCCACCGTTCACACCTCGCAAAGTTGCTACCCCTGTATCCCCCCCTTGCGCGGGGGGGGTGTCGTTTGGTACATGTCTTGGCCTAGAGAGTGGGAGGGGTAGTCGTCTGGCACTTATCTTGGCCAAATAGGGAGTTGGGAGCTTGGGCTATCAGTCACGATTCGATTGTCGACGCACTGCTACCATTTACACCTATATACAAAGAAGGCAGCAGACTCACAGCAAATGTTGGCATTTTTTCTTCTTGACTTACCTCCCCTAGGTGCCGCGAAGTTCCATGCGAAGAACCCGAGAGCCATGCCGATGAGCCAGTGGGCGACGACCGTCGCGAGCCCCTGTCCCAGGTTGGGTAGGGCGAGGGCGGAGAAGGAAAAGCCCCCGGAGGCGGCGCGGCGGCGGGGGGCATCGTCCGCGTCGCACACGAGGTACCGCGAGAACACCGCGAGGCTGTGGCACAGCGCCACCACCTGCTCGCGTGATTCGTCCGTTCGTTCGTTCGTTCATTTAGCCGACCACCCGCACACACAATAAAAAAAGGCATTTCAATGTTCGTGAGTGGGACGTCTTTACCAGATGTACGCGATAGTCTTTTCTGACACACCTACATATGCGTGTGCTTTTTGCGCTCGAAGCATCTTCATTCCCAAATCGCTGAAGGATGTTGATCCATTGGTCGCTCCTCTCGGCCGTTGTGGAAAAAAAAATCCCTCTGAGGAGTAACACAATGACGAAATCATGGAACTAATGGAACCATAGGGGTTCCGTGGATGAGAAGAGATTCTTGGAGATAGCACCCACTCGTGAGAAGCCTTCCCAGCCCAAACGGAGGGAGAGAAGGTCAGGAACAACAGACCTTCCCTCCTGCCCAACTGTGTAGAAATTTTTTCATGTCCCGGGGTATTGCTGCGCGTACTGCCGAGGAAACGTCAACGCGGGGGAAACAACACTGGGTGTAGTCTCCAGGGTATTCGTGGCGGCAGGCCGCATATCACCGCAAATGAGGACGGGTGGCTGGAGTTGGGCGGGTGAAATGTCTTGGCACAAGTGGAATAGTCCATCAAATTGTGTCCTGCTTTGAAGGGGGCAGGTGCCTGCCCGCTATTGTTGTGCGAGTGAATCGGCCAGCCCTACTGTGACACACGGTCGCCCCGGTGGTCTAGTGGGTAGCCTCGCAGCCTGCCAAGGGCCAGGTCATGGGTTCGAGTGCCGGCAGAGAGAGTTTTTTTCTCACTAAATAAATCCTGGTCTAGGATGAAAGCGAAGCGCTGCAAAGCTCGTTTGTTAGTAAACCATAATCGACTTCGTAAGTCGCGAGGGAAGGGATTGCTGTACCCTTCTCGCGATAAAAATACCTCAGGCAGGAACCGCAGGAGGGGGTCCAACCCCCCCCTGCCATGTGACCCCGGTTGGGTCGTCTAGCTAGTAGAAGTGGAGGATAGGGGCCAGAGGGGCAGACGACAGAGTCCAATGATGGGAGAAAAACAAACAAACAAACAAACTGTCAGCTAACAAGAGGCCCGAAGTTGATGTGTACACACGCTTGGCATTCATTATCGACCTCGTTCGGGCATGCTGTGAGCAAGATTCCCGTTCACGTGACCGCGTCGAGATTCGAACGCAAACCCAAACACCAGAAGGAAGGTAGCGAAAACACCAGCTGAACCACAGGACCGGCCGGCCGACCTGTGGAATAAAGTACTTCAATAAAGATGTTGCAAGTTAATACTCCTATTATATTATACCGGTCATGACGCGCCCAAAGCTTCATCTTCAGACTACAACCTCTCTTGGGAGAACGACGTTGATCTATTTTTCAAGTTGGGTTGCTGGGTATTTTTTACACAAAGGTGACAACGCATGATGCCAAACAGTTAAGCACCGGTTGCTACTGCTGTTGCTCTACTGCGCGCATGCTACGGTAGTGTTATGTCTCAACAGCAGCGTTCTCCTCTCTATGCCTCTCTATTTAGTCTACACACCGTCCTGCTCGGTGATGGTGGCCTTGCTGTGCAAGCAGACTAAATGCGTACGGCAGGGCTGGTGTCCATGTCGCAAATTTCAAAAATCTCAGCGTTTCCCACACACTCCCGAAATGCACACTGACGATTCTCCAAAGCGGCCAATCATACGTAGTTTCTCACCATGATGGACAGGAAATCCGCAGGTATCCTAGACCCGGGCCCACGCGTGCTGGGCGTGAGCTGCCAACACAAGATCACCAGGATCCAAGAGACGAGCGTGCACCCCACGAGTACAACGCCGAACGCCATCAACCGCTGGCGGTGCACCCTCTTCAGCGCTGTGCTGCTCGACCCAGCGAAAAACTCTTCCACGGGGATGGCCATGTTTCGTTGGTGCTTTCGTCTTGCCTTTCCTACAAGCACTCTAGTAGGCCGCCTCGCTCTGCCTGTTGCCGTTGTTGCTGGTTGCCCATGGGAGGCACATCTCACGAAGGGAGAGAGAGTCCGTCGGAGGAAAGGGTTGCAATTTTCAGGGAGAGGTATTCGTTGTACTCTGCAGGGCCCCTGCAAGCAGCCCCCAGCGGCCAGCCGCGAGTACCCAGCAGCACAGCAGCAGGCCAAAACGCAACACCCTGGGGCGGATGAAATGGCGGAACAATAGAAGGAGCTAGAAAAATTGTTCGTTCGTGCTCCGACCCGCGCTATTCATGAGTAACCTTCCAGGTTGGTGGTCCTCTCAGATTGCGTTTTCGGATTATCTCTCTCGCGCAGTAAGGACCGCAACTCCCAGCAGTTACTAGAGTTGGAGGTAGAATACTTTTGTGCAACGTACCTGCAGTAGGCTCGTGCGTCTGTTCATTGGCTGACTCGTGTGATTTTCTCGTCGTACAGACTCTCCCTCTTCCCCTCGCTCCTCGACAAGCTTTTGCTTAGACATGGGTTGTAGTGAAGGGGGGGGTCTTTCTGGCGAGCAGGGCTAGACTCACCCTCAAGGGATGACCGAAACCTTCTTGCTGCTGCGCATATCCGCCGCGAGGCATGNTTATCAATTTTTTTCATTTTTTTTCTGCCATTCTTTGTTGGTTTTGTGCGATGATGTCGTCACCGGTTTTGTAGAGAGACCCGTCAGAGATGGCGTGGCTAACCCGGGTGC